GTTTCGTGTGCACCTTGGCTTACGGACCTTTTGTGGAACTGATTGAAATCTGTTGGTAAACTTTTGTGTTTGGAAAACCGTTAAGGTAATTTCTACTTTGGTACGATGAATTTGTACAAATAGCACCGTTTTCTCAGGTCCGGATCTTTTCTTTTGTTGAATTTTCCGGTGGGGAACGCGTAGCTTAAATTTCCAAACGCCTTGTAGCGTTACAAATACTTAGTCGAGATAAATTCGATTTTAATCCTCCAGCAACGGTCGTGGGTGTAAGATTGTTGAATTTTCCCACAAGGCGACTTGTAGAGGTAGGCTGTATAAATCTCGTTACTTTTTGCCACTTTTAACAAGGTTTGGTATTACTGACCAGCAGGGGGAAATGAGTACTGGCAAGGTGAATACTCAAACTCGGTCGTAAATTGTGGCTTTTTCTTAATGAAATCATAGTTGTTTTACCCATACGATGCCTTTGGAATTCTTAGGACAGGATCTGGCGGTAATTGCATGCAATAATTGAAACCAAGCTTTTGGAGAAGCCTATTCTTCGGATAGATTGTTGTCCGTCTGATGTACAGACATACTCAACGCGAGAAAGTGGATCAACAAAGTCGAATTTATCAATTAACTGCCAATGAATATTATTCAATGCATCAGTTATAGAATAAGGGTATATGCCTACATCCCGGTAGGTTTTACAGAATATGATGAAGCCGGAAGGCTTATACTGTTGCCTCAACTGAAAGCGTATCGAGATTTAGCTTGGATGAATCAACAACATTCCTTGTACAGTATTGCTGACAATACAATGGCACACCAGCAAGACTATACCAGAGCTAGTCACACAAGCACTGTTTACGAATGAGCATAATGGATGATTCATTGGAACCTAAGTCAGTCGAATCCGCCAGTACTCTTGAGGTAATTTTACCGACAGCCTCTTGGCCCCGTACCCGGATATTGATCTGAAGCATTAGTAAAACCGTTACCCTTACAGAGTTGGGTGTGACAAAGCACGAGAATCATTTGGTTTGTGATCCATCGTTTATCCGTTTATACCCATGTATATGAGGTTAGTCCGTCTCATAGACTCGGCTCCACTACACACATTAGACATATATGGAGAACTGATTACTACTCGGAAATATTAATCAAAAAGACACTTATGTCTACCAACTGACACGTAAGTTCACTCAGGTGCCCTTTAGACCTACTAACAGGACGAAGCCACTGCACACTTACAGGCTTTTAGCTGCATAATGCAGTCGTTATAAGTCTTTCAGTCTAGATTAAACAAAAGAAAAACCATCCTTATCCTCCAATAGTTGCGTTGATCCTTGTTATTGAAGTTTGTGGGTTCTACAAATTACTTCCACGCATGGTATCATCAAATACAGTTACTGTGAAGTACAGTATCCAGTGGTATCAGATACTGTGTTACTTGGCATGATTGTACCTCTTCTGAGGCGTCGTCTTTTGATAACTATCATTCAAAGTGATTACGTTGAAGGAACACGGTAGGTGATCGACTATTAAATCATTAATACTAAAGTATGCTCACTCGGCACTGCAATACATCAAAGCGATAAAGAGCTGCACTAATTTTTTCTTCACTGGAGTAGTATTATCGGACAACGCAGGAATCATGATGGTTGCTGAATGGGATGACGATATTTGAGAGAAGTATTTTGCCGACTAGTTAAAATTACTTGGGTAAGATTGATCCATGGTGCTGAGAATGGCGCAAATTGTTAGTATAAGGATATCTCAGCGCAAAATACTTCGAGGATGTCGGCGAATGGTTTCGATTTGCAGACCATCTGTCAGCTAAAGACAAGACTATCGTGTAATCATACCGCTACGTAATTCTTGTAGAATTTGCCAAATGATGCTTTTATGCCCAGTCCTTTAGCCACACCATTTGTAGCTCCAACCTCTACTTGCAAAATGAAACACCAATAGAATAAAATTGAGGACCTCAGCAGTTGTTTCATCATAGTGAAAATTCGTTGTGGTTGTCAATACACGAAGTACTGATGTACAACCATGCTAGGAGTGTGTCCGGTGCACATCAAAGATTAGTCGATAGCAACGCCACATAACACACGTATGAATTATGGTACGAAAGAAAAAAGCTGGGCAGCTGGACCCAATTTATATTGCAAAGGCTACAAGTGATAGAGGGCGAAACAGCAAGGACGAGAAGCAAGGTGGAGCGCAACTCACCGGGTAGAAAGTGTGCTGAGGACGTACAATCAGTAAGGAAGTAGTACATGGTTCAGGCCTACCACTTGGGGCTCATCCGAGAAGGGTGAGTGCTGGAAACCGTTAGAGCAGTAACGAAGGGGAGGGGACGTGAAGGTGGATGCGAGAAGTGAGGCTGAACATGGGATTCCAAACTGGGGTTTAATCAGAGTTCACTGAGTCCAGGATTTCCGTTAATTATTATTTGGATGTGGACTAAAGTACATCATCAGTGGGCTGTCGGCGCAGGCTCGCCAGGCTGCAAAAATGGATAGTCCAGCAGAAGACTGACAGAACATTTCCTCGGCTTCTGACCAAACGGTGCGCTTGAGAGGTAACCTTTCTCCACTACACCCCAGGGCATAAACAATGCGACCCTCGTCCCACGAGGAAATCCGGGGATCCTCTTTGGCACTATGTATCCACGCGTTTGGGAACAAATCCGATTGTTGTTGTCTGCCATCAAAGCCGACCTGTTGCCGCCTGGATTGGGGAGGGGCCTTGAGCCATTTGGCGAGTAACCCAACGGTTGTATTGGCTGTGCGGGTGGTTGAAATTTTGAAAGTAGAACTCATGGGAAGTGAGTAAAGGAATGGGTGTAGCGGATTGTCGTCGGAGATGGAAAATGACATACATGATAAAAGCAAGTACGCTTTTTGAGTTTTTCAAAATGCTCTAAAGTTCTTATCTACGTTGCAAAAGGATTGTGCGCGAAACGCATGGTTACATCAAAAGGCAAAAAATCGAGTGTTAGTGGAGATAACAAACGTTCAGCAAATCTGTCGAGTAGAACGACCTTTGACCTGTATAAAGCGTCGGAGAGTCAATGAGAGTTAAAGATTTTGGGTTATCCAGTGCTCGGGAATCCACTACAGGTTCAAATGCCTGTGCGTAAGCCCCAGGATGGCTTGGAAGTGGGCCGTTTTGACTCGATCGATGGGCACGGTGGCTAGGTCACAATTCTGGTCTAAAGTGCAAAACTCCGAAAACCCCAGTGGGGCTGGAAAGGGCTCGACACTTTGTCAGTGAAGACGAAGACGTGAGTTGCAGGTAAACTATCCGCCGTGCATCTGCACGTCTCTCGTCCTATGTAATGAGCGCATGTGTTGGGCAAGGGCTGGATGCAAAGTTAGACGGGGTCAAATGCGATGATGCGTTA